TGAATATAATTCTTTAAAAAAAAGTTGCATTAAAATCAATTTTGATTTGTTTCAAAGAAGTTCTATAAAATTAAAAATGTTTAGAAATTGTTTTTTACTGCAGATCTCACATGTTATTTATGGCAGGAAGCACAAAGTTCTCTGTATGTTTCTGATTTAAAAATCCACAAACGTCACATTGTAACGACAGCTGAATGATGACAATGATTTCAACATCCTAGTCTGAGTTTAAATAAAGAGAAACAAACATTAAAGTGTCTTTAATGTGTGTTTGAATCTGTTTCTACAAACCTGACAGAAACCAAACAGCTAAACACATTTACCTTTAAATTCCTGCTTTGTTTTGAAATTATGCAATAATGTGAGTTAGCTTTTAGTCTGCTCTTTAGAGTGTTTTTCAGCATCATTTGTTCTCACTTTTATTTTTAGATTTTCAGTTTCTAGTTTACTTTATTAATTATAATAACTTGTCCCCATGGTTATTTAACTTGTTTAAAGTAAAGTGAAGCAATGTTTTGCTTTAAGACGGCCTTTAATAACGTATCAAATTAATTTACTTGAAAGTGTCTTACAAGATAATTTCCCTTAAACTGTTTGTACCTTCATCAGCCAGCAGGGGGAGGCATTTGCTCAATAAGTGTGCTCTTAAACTCAGTGCAGGTGAAACCTGATGAAGCCACGGTTTGAGCAGGATAATCACAGACGGCTAAATTTCACTCTAAGTTAGTGTCTGTATGTGTGAAATATAATACTAAATTATTCTACAGCTGCACTCTGGTGTCCACATTAATGCTGTATTGTGAGTAAACCAAACTAACATTTGATCTCAGTATTTACAGGTTGGAAACAAATGGAGAAGGAAATGTTTAAAAATAAGCTTCTGATTGTTTCCAGGTGAGCAGTTTGTATTGTTTTAGCTCATTTTATTGAGACATGATAAGGTAAGCAATATTTAATATGAAACTTTGACAGTAACCTAAAGTGAAAGCACTCTCTGTCAGTATATCATTTGACTGGTTAGCCCACTATAGAATAGCTTATATTACATAAATCTGAATAAGTTAAACCCAGGATGTCTGAGAATGTAACAGACTGATTCAGCTTCATCTCCACAAGGACAGACAGCCTACAGGACGTCTTTCGAAACACGCAGTTTGATGCATCACATGGTTTATTCAACTTGCGCTCACAACACTCAACATGGGCTTTAATAATCATCAGATTGTTGTACTGGCAGACCAGGGTGGTGGTCCTCATTTTTAAGAAGGGAGTTGGAGGGTGTGTTCTAACTATAGGGGAAATCAGCCTCCCTGGGAAAGTCTATGCCAGGGTGCTGGAAAGGAGAGTCCGTCCCTTAGTCGAACCTCGGATACAGGAGAACAATGGGAGTTTTTCCCAACCA